TGTTCCGCAGTCTATCAACATACGGGATTGCAGTTCCCCCGCTAGCACTTCTCCGTAATTTCCTCTCCAATTGCTCCTTCGCTATGCTAGTTGGTAATTCTATTGGAACTTAGCCCGGTCACCACTTACTTTCGTTCATTGTGAATGTTTCCCTCGCTCTGTTTTACAGTAGATCTTATGCTGCAATTCACTTAATGTAATACAAAAATGTGCTACGCGCTTGGCAACGTACTTCATCCGTGGATCAGCTGATAGATTTCATGCTTGATTTCAGTTGACCTTTCTCATCTGCGTTTGACGGAGGTGGTTGTGGTTAGAGTTAAAATGCATTCACCTTTTCTCATTGCCCAAATGAAATCGTTTTGATGTGTTCGCAACTTATCTTCTATTGCAGAAAGTTTTCATTTGTTCTGTGCTACCGCGTTTTTGACACCTGAACGGTGAACTTTCCAAGTAGACTTGGAACTGATGTAACTTAACTTAATGACGTGTTTTTTAGGCGCAATGCGAAGATCTGCATTTTTATCTTTAAATCAGTTCGTACGCCGAGGTTTGCACTCATCGACCATTTTATTCAGCAAGGGAAAAACTTTGGAGCCTAAGCCTATTCCCGGAACCAAAGAACACTTAGAACCTAACGCCTGGGCAAAGCGTCTTTTCGAACTGCACGAGAAACGTAACACGAAAACCGTCAAGTATGCGGACGCATCTCCTTTACACATGATTTGCCGAATCAAACCATTAAAAGGAGTTCCTTATTACGAGCGCGCTTTACTCGAAAAATTTGGATTGGGGGAACCCGTCAAGGTAGGTATTGTTGAAGATCGTTTGTGATTCCACAGAAATTCCATTGGGTTGTGGTTGAAAACATACCCTCTGTGAACAGCGAACTCAACACCATCAAACACTTAATTAGGATTCAACCTGTGATATTCCCCCAAGGCTTACCCTCGGATGCGGACGATTTAACTCAGTGTCGCCTGATGCCTGATGGTCGTTTTTTAAGAACTCGTGGACAAAACGTTCGCGCCAAAGTTGTTCCTGATTCGCAGAATTCCGTTTCCAGTTCGACCTCAACTGCACATGCTTCGCTATCAGATGATGCTCAGATAAAGGTTAGTGTCTTTCCATTCATTCTATTTTTAGCTTCCCACTATTTCCTAGTTTCGTTGGCGTTATTTATCTGGCCAGGAGCAGCGCTTGAAAGGTGTACTCTTGTGCTAGAGATGTGTAATAATTGCACACGGCATTGTTTCAGACGTTCAGTCAGTCATGGCATCAAATTTTCCTAAACAGATCAGTGCTACACCGATCCATCCAACTCGGGAGACTACTCTTATCCTGGACAATTTCCTGTCATATTGACTATTGTACCGTAATTCATTTGGCTCAGTTTAGATTAATACATATGAGATTTACATAAGGACACTTATTTTGTGTTATGAATGACAGTCAGAGTGGGCCCCATAGTCTCGAAGACCCGGGACTTGGAGTGGCGAACCACAAGGCCGCGCTAGGTTAGGTAGGGTATTGAAACGGACGACAGCGAAGCTGCCTGTATATGTACACTGTTACTCAACTAATGGCCATCCAATATAGAATAGAATGCGATGCAGTCTTCGTTTATATTCTACCTGTAACGACTTTATGTATCATGTAATAGAGCTTACTAGATTGCTGTAGCATACAAATAACCTTTTATGATAAGCCAGATTTGGGATCGTCTTAACTCGTCCCACCATTTCATCTAACTGATTTTTCATACAAGCTTGGATTGTGCGCCCTTCATGACGTACAGGTTAGTTAAATTTGAATCCGTATTGTAAGTGCTTGCTCGGTAATGTATTCCTGGATTTAATAGAGAGTTCCATACTTTATGATATACGTCTTGAGAGCCGGAAAACGCTTCTTTGGGTCGCATCAGTATTGTTACACAAACGGTCGACACAAGTTCCACCTCAATAACAGTTCGGTTCGACGTCCCATGTGATTCACTGTCACCAATCCATTGAGAGCATTATTTTATATTTTTTGTACGGATTTTTACTTATTTTTATAAGCGTGTGGTCATTGCCACTCGTTGAGTCAGTTTTTTTCGACAAATTCAATAGGGTGGTCGGTTTTTCACATTTCATT